TGCTTGGGGGCAATAGAAAAGCACAGCAACTATGAAAGCAAAGGTGGTTTATTTTTGCAATGTGTACCACAGGACCCACGGAGAATTGGTTGCAAGCTCTCCCCCGTGAAAGCACAGAAACTATGAAAGCAAAGGTGTTTTTTTTTTGCAATGTGTACCGTAGGACCACAGTACCCACGGAGAATTGGTTGCAAGCTCTCCCCCGTGGATGCTGGAAAACACGCAAGTATGGTACGCTATACACTGCATGGTCAATGACTTCCTCTAATGGATAGCTCTGGTAAATACATCCTGGAAATAGGTACAAATACATATTGGGGTGGGGTCATTTAGTATTTTGAGGCAACGGATAAGTGAATCAGTGGATACTGATCCCGCGGATAAGGGGGTCCTACGGTGTATAGCTCTAAAACAGCTGCAGAGTAAAAGAGAAACTGATTAAGAAAATACAGATTATCCCCTTCTCATAAGCAGGCCATCCAATGATTTTTAATCCATTTTAAAATAGTTTTAAAAATAGTTATTTAGTTATTGTTCTGTTTCTTTTCCAAAAAGTGGGAGGAAAGGCTCTTGAAACGGAAGATCGCACCATGCTGTGTTGTGGTGCCGACCCAACACACATTTCACGCAGCTGCAGGGGCGGCAGCTTACCTTAATCTTCTCGCTTTCCGTCGTTTTTGAAAGTTGATCAACAAGTTCAATGAGGCTGCCCACTATTTTTTTAAATTCTGCGATTTCTGTTCAGAGGGAACAAAACGATCAAATATATTCATGCCCCAGATGCGAAAGCGAGCAAGGCGAACCACCGCTGCCCACAGTTAAGCTAAAAGGATCCTTTTCACTTTTCGGTAATGTTGTTGTTGTTGTGATGTGCCGTCAAGTTGCTTCTGACTGATGGCAACCCTATGAATGAGCATTCTCCCAAATGCCCTGTCCTGAAAGGCCCTGCTCAGCTACTCTAACTCAAGCCTGGGGTTTCCTTTAGGGAGTTAGTCCCTTTCCTCTTTTCCTGCTATCTTCAGTTTTTCCTAGCATGATTGTCTTTTCCAGAGAACCTTGCTTTCTATGGGTGTGCTCGAAAGCAGGACAGCCTCAGTTTCATCCCTTTTGCCTCCCGAGATCGTTCAGGCTGGATTTGATCTATGACCCACTTTTTTTCATCTTTCTGGCTGTCCAGGACATCTTCAAAGCTCTCCTCCAGCACCACATTTCAAATGAATCAATTTCCACCACCACCACCCCAGCTTTCTTCACTGTCCAGCTTTCACACCCATACAAGGTGATTGGAAACACGAGAGTGTGGCTGAGCTGGGTCTTGGCCTCCACAGACACATCTGTACACTTGACAACCTTTTCTTCACGGCTGCCCTTGCAAGTCTCCGTTTTCTTCTGATTTCTTGGCGGCCACCTCCATGTGGATTGATGGCTGAAGCAAGGTACACAAAATCCCTTAACTATTTCAATTTCTTCATTGTCAACACTAACATTGTGTACTTCTTTTGCAGTCGTGATTTTGTCATCTTTGTTACAATCCACTATTTTTTTTCCTAGATTACATTAAGAACTAGTATTCCTTTCCTATTCTGCCTCCCATGGGCTAGGCCATATATCCCCCTTTTCCAATATCATGTATTTTGCCAGACACTTGCCTTCCCAAAGTCATGGAACACAAATTGTAAAATTCCTTTGTAATTTTTTTTGTAATTTTTTTTAATTGTAAAAAAATTATAAAAATCCATTTTTGCATAATATTTTGGAATAGGATTCTGGCCACTGTTTTAGTACTAAATATCAGAAATATTACTTGTGAGTTGCAAGTGCTGTTCCTTACTCCTTTAATTTGTTACTGGCTGCTTTTGCTGACATTAAATTTGATTTTTATTCCCCTCCCTAATAGATTGAATGAAAGACCAAATCTGCTTTGTAAAATTCTAGCAGTTCTCTTGAATGAATGATGAATACATTTCCTTGAACAAATGGAACAGTGAACTAGTTAATATAAGGATGTGTCACTTGGAGACCAGAGCCAAGATTGTCGATTCTGTTTTATTTCGAGTTGCTACGCATGGATGTGAAAGCTGGATAGAGAGGAAAGATCGTATTTTACATTACATGAAGTAATGTAAAATATGGTATTGTAAGAGAGCATTGCAGACACTAGAAAGACAATCAAGTGGGTCCTAGACCAAATCAAGTCTGAACATTCGTTAGGTTTGCTACGCATGGATGTGAAAGCTGGATAGTGAGGAAAGATCAGGGGGAAGGGATGAAGTAATGTAAAATATGGTATTGGAAGAGAGCATTGCGGACACCAGAAAGACAATCAATTGGGTCCTAGACCGAATCAAGTCTGAACATTCGTTAGACGCAAAAATTATGGAACTGAGGCTATTGTACTTTGAGCGCAACGTGAGAAGGCTGGATTATCTCTGGATATAACAATCATGCTGGGAAAAGTGGAAGGCAGCAGGAAAAGAGGAAGACCCAATACGAGATGGACTGACCCTCTCTAAAGGAAGCCACAGGGTTGAGTCTGCAAAAGCTGAAAACGGGGATGCTGAGGACAGGACACGTTGGAGAGTACGCATTCATAAAGTCATGCATAAGTCGGAAGGCGCACGAGACATAAAACAACAGCAAAAGTTGGCCCGAGCGCTAACGTTCCTAGAATCTACCAAAACCGAAGGTGGGGTCCGAGCAGACAACGATGCCTCGGGCAAAGTCAAGGCCTTTCAGCATCTTTTGAACCCACCGTTCTCAATGGAATAAAACCTGCATGTTATTTCAAATACTAAGTAAACCCCCCCCCCAAAAAAACACAAGGTGCATTGATGGGCACTTGATTTTGCCCAGAGGCACGAAACTGGCTCCCACATTTCTACTAAGAACGTGATGTCCCATCACCTCCCAGCAGCAGACAATTCAAACATTTACAATGCCCCTGCAAAGTGGAACAGTTGGTAGATGCCTGAAATCCCAAATAGGTAAGCGGTCTGACCCCCCAACGAGGGAGTTAACAAGGAACCCCCGTTCTCTCCACCATCATCTTCCCGCTCAGACCTTAGGGCAGTTATTTTTTTTGGAGGGGGGGTGTTTGACTCTCCTTCCCTGGGGATTTTTAAGCACCGGCCAGATACTTTAGCTATGGGTTCCCTGCCTAGGGAGGGGGGCTGGACTTGATGACCTTCAGGGGGTTCCTTTCAGTTCAACCGTTCTGGGATTCTATGATTTGCTTTCTTGCCCACAAAGTTTGATTCCAGTCCTTTGAGGCTCAATCAAGATCAAGGTTCTCTTTTGAACTTCTGTGATGATTGGAAAGTGAGGCGGGACCCTTCGAATTCCAAAAAACCCGAATTTCACCCCCAATGGGCCCTGCTTCATACGCAACGGGGGGCGCCGAGTCTCAACACAGTGGTCCAGCGCATTGGCGAACCCGCCCTCCCAACCGGATGGGCTCAGCAGAGGGGGAAGACTTACTGTCCACAAAAACTCTGCATTCTTCTTTCAGTTCAACCGTTTGCTGAGCAACCTCCGGGTCCAACACCCTCAGTTTGTTCAGCTCATCAAAATGCAGGCCTGCCTCTCCGAGGATCTCCTGGGCCATTCCGACTTCTCCTCGGACTCCTACGGAAATCAACCCAAGAAAATTAATTTAGTGGAGGGAGGGAGGGTTGGAGAAAAAGATGAGAACAGCCCGGCTCGCTCCTTCTTTCAAGGCATGGCTCATTATTATTATTTTTTAAATACTAAATAAGGCACCGTGCTTCAAAATCGTAAGTCAGCGAGAATCCTGGTTCCTAGATTGCCTGCAATGAGAATAAAAGCCTCCCTCCGTATTTGTTATTAATAATCTTTATGAACCTACAAAATGTACAGATTAGCAATTTTTTAAAAAAAAACCTCACTTTTTGATATTTATCTCCCCGAACGAGTGGCCAGCCTTTGGCACACTGGGATGTTTTGGACTACCATGCCCAAAATCCCCAGTCCAAGGGTTAAGAACAGTGGCATGGTGCTCCCAAACATCTCGGCTGCGAAAGGTTTGCCACCCTTGCTGGGGGGTCACTGTGTTTGGGGAGTAGGAAGAAAACAAAGCCCATCTACCACCTTGAAGAGGAACCGCCTAATCAAACTGAGCTCTTCGGGTGCCTTGGAGGGAGTTTAGTTCACACTGAAACAAATCTGATGTAGTCTGTCAGGGGCTGCCACATTTGTGGTTGTTGTGATGGGCCCTCAAATCGCCTCCGACAGAGGGTGACCTGGCGAAGGAGCGCTCTCCAAAATGTCTGTCCTCAACGGCCCTGCTCTGCTCTTGCAAACCCAAAGTCATGGCTTCCTTTCTGGAATCAGTCCATCTCGTATTGGGTTCTTCCTCTTTCCCTGCTGCCTTCGACATTTCCCAGCATTATTGTCTCTTCTAGGGAATCCTGCCTTCTCCTGATGTGCCCAAACGAGGACACCCCTCAAGGCTGTCCTTTTTGCCTCCAGTGACGGTTCAGGCTTGATTTCATCCAGGACCCATTTGTATCCGTAAATGTCTCCTCCAGCACCATATTTCAGATAAATTAGGGGTTTTTCCTTCTTCTTCTTCTTCTTCTGTTAGCTGTCTTAACTATCCACCTTTCGCAGCCGTACATTTCTGTTAAAGCTGAATTCAACATTCTGGTTATTATCTATCAAGCCCTAAACCGCTCGGGCCGGGAGCCTCTCTGGGGGCCTGCATCCTCTCTTTGCATCATCCTCTCTTTATGTTCTTGATCTGTGAGCTACCTGAGTGCCACAGCTGGGAAAAAGGCACTGTAGAAATGCAATCCATGAAGCTTTGAAAACCATGTGGAGTGTAATGCCGTGGGTAGTGTCACAACGTTGTTGGCCTTATTGATGCTTTACTAACAGGAACACAGAGTTGTCGGAAGGTACTTGTGGGTGCGAATTTAGCTGCCTGGGCAGCTAATCCGAGCATTGGGCTAGGGCCAGGTAGCCCCTCCCCATTCAGGTCTGAACATCTGGCCTTCCAGATGTTTTGGACTACAGTTCCCAGAAGCCCCAGCCATTGACAGCCAACGGGACAGGGATGATGGATTTGGAGTTCCAAACATGGAGGGTCAAAGGATCCCCTGCCCCAATAGAGGAAAGGGTGCCGAGTTTAGACCAGTCCTTCCCAGTCTTGGGTAAAAAGGATCCCCTGCCCCAATAGAGGAAAGGCTGCTGAGTTTAGATCAGTTACCCAGTCTTGGGTAACACAGGTGTTCTTGGACTACAACTCCCAGGAATCCTGGCCAGCACAGCTAGGGGTGAAGGCTTCTGGGAGTTGTAGTCCAAGAACACCTGGGAAGATCCAGGGTTGGGAATCCCTTGTGTAGAGCCATCTAATCCTGCCTTCTTCCCCCTCCTCCAGCCAGCCAGATGTCTCGCCTGCAAGACACGAGGACAAGAACTTCCACCCCCTTGTACTCCGGGGATACACTGCCACTGCAGCTGGAGGCTCTCTCCATGGCTACCAGGGTTAAAAAAAGATCTGAAGCCCAGCAGGAATGGGGAACGGCGGGTTCATTGAGCAAAGCCTCCCCAAATCTGGATCTTCCCTGGATGCTGTGGGACTACAACTCCCATCCACCCTGGTGGGACTTCTGAGTCCAAAACACACCAGTGGGTTGGGTACAGCTGGAGCCCTTTTGGTGCCTGGCCTTCCACAGTCGGCAGCTAAGCAAGCAGCACCCTCTTTCCCACCCCCCTCGTTATTCACTAAGTGAGATACACTACCTCTGGATAGGGAGGCTCTACCCAGCCCAGTTGGATAACAGCTTTCTTTCTCATTCATCCCCCCCGAAGTCCCTGCCCCGCATCCCTCGCCCCATATCCGGGGAATTTCCACCCCCGCCCTAAAGTTACCGGGGGTCCCCGCTCACCTGTCCCTCGGCGCCGGGCCGGCGAGTCCCTCCAGGTCTCCCCTCCCCCGCCCGGCCCGGAGCGGTCTTCGCTGCCACGGCGACACCGGGCGCCGCCGAAGCCCCGCCCTTCGCCCCGCCCACTCGGAATGGGCCATTCCCTCCTGACGGAGGGGGGGAGGAGAAGAACAGGAAGTGCGCGCTGGGCACCCTGGGAATTGTAGTTCCCAACGGGAAGTCTTTCCCAAAGCGGAGGCCGGGGGGGTCGAGGGGCTATGGGCTTTGTGGTTAAGCAGAGCTGATCACCCCGAGGAAAGGTCTCGCTGAAAGCCTCGGCTGGGGGGGGGGGTGGTGGGGGCTCTGGGAGTTGCAGTCCAGAGAAAGGAACGCCAAGGGGACTTCGGAGGCGCGTGGCGGGGCGAAGCCGCGAGACCGGCCTCAAATCGCTCGGGGGGAAAAGGGGCAACACCGTGGAAACGAAACGGTCTCGTAAATCTCCGATGGGAAAAAATAGGTGCCGCTTTAGAAACCTGATTGGAAATGGCAACATTCAGAGGTTGGGAAAGGGACTTTTCTCAACTCCAAGAATTCCCCGGCCAGCAGCCGCCTCAGAAAAAAAAAGTAATTTTGGCCAGCTCCGGATCAGAGCCGCCTTCCAAACTTGAAGAAGGGCGGGAGATGGGCTTTGTGGTGAAGCGCCGTTCGCGAAACTCGGAAAGCGATCGATCCCTCTGGCCTCGACCTCTTGGGCTTGGCAGGGAGGAGGAAGCGAAGCGCTGCACCCTGGGAAACGTAGTCCTCCGCCCTCCGACGGGGTGGGAGGGGCCCCGCCCTCTGACCGGTTGGGTGCGTGCGCGGGGCATGCCGGGAGATGTAGGCCGCGAAAGCCTGACGGGGGAAGGGCGGCCTGTTTTGGGGAGGTGGCCCGGCCGCTCCGCCTTTCGGCTCGGATTGAGAAGCCACCAGGGAG